ATTAAAGAGATCAAGAGCACGCTACCACCCATGAAGATCGACATCGCAACCGTATCCCCATCCCAGACAACAAGTCCGTACTCGACGCTTAGAGAAACGAAAAGCTACAACGACAGTCTAGGCATACCAAGTGCAGATGCCAAGAAACTTTCTTCTCCGTCCAACGGCCACTACGACGAATACGACGAATTCGATGACCCCGGCGCGGGTCAAATGGAAATGACATTCGACACCTCGTTCCGCGACCCCCCTTCCTCCGCTACAGCACCTAACAAATACCCCCTCCCCGCATCACCCTTACCCCTACAACCAAGTCGCTCTGGTACATCCTCGCCCTGGGACTCGGGCACACCCAGTAAAAACAACTCTGGTACTGCTCAGCCTTGGAGTGCAGGTCCTGGTCAGCCGTCTTGGGACGATGCTGCGGGCCCTGCTGAACGTCCCCCGTTGCGCTCGGCGAAGACGGAATCACATGCCAGTAGTTTGGGTCCCACGCAGTCTACTGGTGATCTGGGACATAATGCTTGGGCTGATGAGTTCGAAGATGATTTTGGGCAGGAGAAGGAGGTTAAGATGAGTTTTATGTGATGGGAGGGGAGGGGCGGGGTATCCCTTTCCCTAAATGTGGCGTCTTGAGGCTGGTTCATGTTGTTTCCCGTTTGGCTGGTTTTTTTTTCGCGCCTTGTTGCATATTTCAGCGCGCATTATGGAGTTTGAATGTCGTTATGTAGTCAGTAGTAGGCGTTTGTATTACGTGCGTTGGGTTGGGAGATGTTGTTTGGCGTAGGCATTGGGTGGGTATGCGATTGGGTAGTCGTTTCTTGCTCATTGCTTGCGTAGGTGCCATAGATAGTAGATAATATCAATAAGAACATATACCATGTATTCTGAACATTTGGCACAAGTTTAGACAATTCATGTGTCATTAATCGTAACCTACTAAAAACTACTCGTATATCGTACACGGCTCCTGTCGAGCCCCCATATGCGGTGCAAACTATGATATACCACGAATGTACGTCATCAGAGAGAAAAACAATGACGCTCAATATGCGTCAGTATGCCATGCGTATGTATACAATTTCGAAAAGTCGCTTAAAACGGAATGGGTATCAAGCCGTTGCGTGTGCGTGCGGAACCTCAGAGAAACGCTTGGAGCGTGGAAAGAGCGAGATCCCCTAGATCTCAGCTTCTTGCTTGCGACGACGGATGCTACCGAGACGCCTCTTGATTGCGCCGCCGACGCTCCTTCCAGTGGTGTTGCTGCGGCCGATGCCGGAAGCTTCAGCGTCGGTAGCGACGGAGGGGACAATACCGGGTGCTTCGGCATGGCCAACGCTGCGAGTGCGAGAGCTGCGGGTAGTCATCTCTGTGCCGCTGTCGCCGAAGCGCTTGTGGTCCTTCAGGGCCTTCTCGATGGAGTAGGAAGGTTCGCCCTTGCCCTTAAGATCGTCTGGGTGGTATTCCTGCGATGTGTTAGCGAAGTTCAGCTTAGGAATGGTTGGGGAACATACAACACCAGGCCAGCGACGGTAGTCAGCTCCAGGCTCTCGCATCAGGTCAGCACCCTCTTCATAATTGAGTACTCTTCCGAAACGATCAGCCATGCCAGGTGGTACGATGGCGACTCCCTCCAAGGGACGATGCCTCTGTACAGAGTCGACGATGTTCTCCCGTGGAGTAGCCCTCAAAGCCTCCTCGTTCGAGTCCTTGACCGCCGCGAGGGGACTGTATTTCTCGACGCGGTTGCGAGCGAGACTGGCAGCGTCGTACGGGCCCTCATGGTGGTACCGACCGAAAGGTGCCTTGTCGAGACGATCGATGACGTCGGCGCCTTGGAAGTTCTTTTTCCTAAGATGGGGAGCACGGTGAGCAACTTTCTCATCATGACGCAATTGGTCAAGAGGCCTATGTGACTTGTCACCAGGATAGCGCTCTCTCAAGGAGCCTGAGCGGTCGCGCGTAACTCCGCTCTTCTTCATGGATGCAGGGGCATTTTCGCTGGATCGTCGGGGCCGGCTTCCGTTCATGGGTCCGAAGATTTCCGCGCGGTGGTTGTCGGAGAAATGGGCACGTCTGGGGCTGGCAGAGGCAGGAGGGGATGGGTAATCATACCTCCTACTCTGCGGTGTAGTCTGCCCAACCTGCGATACTGATGCCGAAGCGCCCTTTGCCTCGGATGAAGCCCTGGAACGGCGGAACGGGTTGGTCTCGACGGAACTGCCGGTGTTTTGCACACTGACGGTTGGGTGGCCTTTGGCGTCTCCAGCGGATCCGGGCGGTGTGATGGGAGCTGCGGGAGCATATGTGGAGCGAAAGTGGCTGTTGAGGCCAGTCTCATCGCTTGGGTCTGGTTCGATCAGAGGATCGATCAACGCATGATGGGCCTGCTAAGTCAGCTTCAATGTCTAACGATGATTTATTGCGCTGAACTGCTTTGAGACGGGCTTAGTGAGGCATGCCGGCGCACATGGGAGGCACAGTAGATTGTCCAATCATGTGCCCGGAGCGAACGAAAGATAAATACTTACTGCGTCCATTGCCATGATGGTAGGTTTGTATGCTAGTGTTTGATAGTTGGCGAACTTGGGAAGGTTGAGTAGTTGTAGTGTTGGAGATTAGTGGTCAGACGAGTGTCAGGTGCTAGATGGATACGAGAGGAAAGAACAGGTGACGGGAGGGAGAGCGAACTACATAAAGGCCTGACTTGGCAGGTACCGTGGACGCGTACATCATCGGTTCGCAGTCGCGGCCCTGCGTCAGATTTCTTCTTGTCCGCTCTTGGTGGAAAGAGCGGCCCAATCGCTGCCATACGTCATGCGGATGCGCTAGGCTGCAAGTGGGTCCGCCGCTTGGTCCTCTCCACGAGTGACGACAGCTACGATGATCCCTCACCATCACGATCCAGCCCGCCATGTCGCTGGTCGATTATCCAGATTCCGCCTCGGATGATGATGATAAGAGCCTCGATGCCTCTGCCCAGACGGCACAATCTGCCGCCAAACCTACATCGAAGCGCAAGCACTGCGCCTCTGGGGATGCCCTGCCACCGCTTCCGCCAGCCTTTCACGACCTCTACGCGACAAATGCGCGCGTCAGCACTAGCGACAACCCAAGCCTACACGGTGGACGAAAACGGGCTGTACCTCACGTCGAGGGCAAGTGGCCTAGTCATGTTTACTTAGAGTGTAAGGATACCCAGAAATATTCACCACCAATATGGACAACAAACTAACGCGTTCGAGGGATACCTACACAGCCTGAGTCTGATGCTCTACACAGCCTACTGCAGCATGTGAGAGATACTATTGATCTTGAAAATGCCAAGCGAACGAAGAAACTGCCCGTACCAGAGATCATACCATCTCTTCAATCAGAACTGGGTGCGTCGCTACCTCTTCATGTCTCCTTGTCGCGCACCTTGCAGATCAACACCGACAGCAGAGAGCCTTTTCTGGAATCATTAAGTGTTGCTGTGCGGCGATCCGCAGTGCGCGCTTTCAATTTTGAGTTTCAGAACTTGAAGTGGGTGTCCAACTTCGAGCGCAATCGATGGTTTCTAGTCCTTGGCATTAAGAAGTCCGCGCTCAACGAACTTAACCGCCTGCTGCAAGCATGCAACGACGCGACCCAATACAGCGGTCATCCAGGTCTGTATACAGGCGGAGTGGGAGACGGTCCGAAGGAGAGCCATGACTCCAACGACGGTCCGAAGCGGAGGAAGGTCGACAAGAATGAGCCTCAAAGCCATGATTATTCGCAATATTTCCACGTCAGCATCGCTTGGAACCTGGCTGAGCCTGACCCTGAGTGGGTTGCTCTGGTCCAAGATATCGACACCAGTAAGTTCGTTCAGGCGCCTGAGGCTGCTTTTGATGCCGTCAAAGTAAGGATTGGAAACACAGTCCATAATATTGCCCTGGCTAGCAAGAGAGCCGGTCTGGGGAGGGTCGGAGGAGGGCTGGGTTTGGCATGATCATCGCATTGCGATGACGTGCCGGGTTCTGGATTCGCAAGCTGGCCAGGGTCTTATCTCCTGTTGGGTATCAGGAATTATGGACCCGGCAGCACGTTCCAACAACAACACGGCACACACGAACAGATTTCTCACGTGCGCACAACTCTGAGCACGGAGGTCTTTAATCAAGAACCCGGCCCATTTGGCGACTGGATCTTGGATGCGATGTAGGAATTCACTTTGGATCGTAGAATACTTTTAGACTGACGTAGGCAATTGCGGATAGCGATCGCGCAGTACAAGAAAAAGCAACTCGATCAGATCCCAACCCATGGAGCTCATACCAGTTCTCTTCGAAGAAGAAGAAGAAGAACAATGGCATCATGTGATTGCTCCTTTCGCATCTCGTTCCAACGGCTTGCGGCCCCAGGCACAGCATTCACCGAACATCACTTGGCTCAAAGCTTGACGCAGATAAGGCGCGTTGCGACATGTAACCTTATTTGCTCTCAGTAAGCACTAAATTGGCTGGACTCACGCGACTGTCGAGCCACGTTGATCTCGAACGACCCTCATGCACATGTGAGTTATGCATTTCCAGGCCCTCTGGAACAGCCCATCAATTGATGGCGAAGGCAATGGCATCTCGAAGGTCATTCCTAGTCTCTGCATTCATGTCTGTGGCGGCTGGCTTTCGAGGCGCAAACTTTCGGCACCTCGTGCAGTTTCGGGCCCGACGCGTCAAACTCGCGCTGTGCACACATTCGCGACCCGAGAGCCCGCGCGAGGACGAGACACGTGACACTTGAACTAGGCAGCACAACAGGTGTAGACGTATATATCGCGAGGTTTGAAGGTGTGATATCAGTTATATTGGATTTTGATTCACGAAGCTCCAGTTGTACTACTACCCGCTTTGCTTACGCCCGAAATTTACAACTTGAAGAACTTGTCGTCGCCAGAGAACCGCGAACATCTTCCCAAGTCCATCAAGACACCAATCAGCGACTTGCAACCCCCTTGAAAAGCCATGGGATCAATCATGAAACCCTCTCAACCCAAGATTGGCCTAGTTGGCGCTGGCCCTGCCTCTCTAACCCTCGCCAACATCCTTCAGAAGCACTCCATCCCCTTCATCATCTTCGAGTCCGCGTCAGAACTCCGCACGCAAGGCGGCTCCCTGGACCTCCACCCAGAATCCGGTCAGCTCGCCATCAAAGAAGCAGGGCTTTGGGAACCGTTCGCCAAACATGCACGTCCAGAGAGCGACTGCATGAAGGTTGTGACTTTGGACGGAGAGGTACTCTGGGATGAGAATGGCGCTGACAAGCAAGACATCAAAGAAGATGAGAAGTTTGAGGGAAGGCCTGAGATCGATCGAATGGCGTTGGCGACGCTGATGTTCGAGAACCTGAAGGAGGGGTCCGTACAATTCGACAAGAAGTTGAAAGAAGTTGTGCCCTCTGCTGAAGGAAAGGGGAAATACGATCTGCACTTCTCAGACGACACGAAAGAGTCCGGATTCGATCTTGTTGTCGGGGGAGATGGCGCATGGTCCAAGGTTCGCAAACTTCTCACCGACCAAATGCCACAGTACTCAGGTATAGCTTCTATCGCAGTGAGCTGCAAAGACATTAAGGCCGATCCCTGGCTGCTTGACTACGTCGGCTCGGGCTCGATGTTCGCTTTTGGGGAGGGTTGCGCGGTGCAGTCCCAACGGCAAGGTGACGGTAGCCTAGGGACATACGCCAGCGTGCATGCACCAGAGGATTTTCTGCGGACGTGTGGCATCGATTGGGACAACAAAGCGACGGCGCGCAACACTTTTGTCGACCGCTACCTCTCTCATATCCACGATGACCTCAAGCGTGTTATCATGTCCTCTGATGAAGACAGTCTCATTCCTCGCAATCTGTACGAGCTGCCGGTTGGATTCCGCTGGCCATCTCGCCCAGGCGTTACCCTTATCGGCGACGCTGCGCATGTCTTCACGCCGTTTGCTGGACTAGGAGTTAACACGGGCATGAAAGACGCACTGGTATTGGGGAGGGAGATTGTCAAAGTGTGCCGTGGAGAGAAATCTCTGGATGCTGCTGTGAAGGAGTACGAAGAGGAAATGTTTCCACGGTCCACAAAGGCGGCAGTCAAAACGGTAAAGGGGAAAGAGGGGCATTTCAGTCGAGATGGAGCTAAGCATTTTGCCGATATGATCAAATCGAAGTACTACAGGCAGGATGAGGTCGTTGCGAAGTAGGGAGGTGGGAGTCCAGACTCTGGGGTGGATCAGAAGACTGGGTCGTAGTGATGTTCTCGAAGTAGCCCTGGAGGAATTGGATCTACATTGCGGTATTTCATGGCATAAGAATACATACTCGACTCACTACAGTTCTCAAGTTGTATGCAACCCTTAAGTGTATAATGTGACCATCCTTGGGGTGTAAGTTTAGGACCGGAGGAAGCCGTAGGAAGACCAACGATGCGACAAATGCTGGAACTTGCATGCTACATGTTGTAGCTTGAATGGTCGCTGGTTGGCGGAAGAGTACCTATAGCTATAGGACAGAAGGGCTGTCAGCGCGGGTACAGAGTGGTCGCCTGACTTCTTGTTCAATCGCTCGGCACCGAGTTATGTAGCCAATGCCGACCAGGCACCCAAGGCTCTCAGCGCTTGGTACAACTGACTACGCGCCATTGTAATTGCGATGGATCGCCGCTCGTAAAGTTGACATACACACCGTATTCATGCGGACGAAAAAATCCACTTAGCCCATCTATGTTTAGCAGCTCGCGGGTGTCTGTCTGCCGAAGAACGCGGTATCGTCAAGCGGAGAGTTTAGTGATGTCCATCAATAGCGGTGGGCGCGGTAATAAGGCGCCGGCCGCTCTTGAGTCGTGAGAGAAAAGGGGCACGCACCAACATCCAGCACCGCCTGAACATCCACCCCAACCCTTCGATGCGTCTTTCGGCCAATTAAAGAACGCCCGGTAGGTAGAACCCTGCACAAGTCGTTCTGTACCTGCATGGTGGCGCAAGCTGTGCCCTTGCTCTACTACGAGCTGCACAAAGATTAGCCGTTCGCGATTGCTACTTGTGATTGCTGATATGCGCGTTGCCGTGGATTTGATGAGGATGGAACCATCCGATGGGTCCCAATTAGCGACACGAGGAGGGTCTTACCAAAACGGTTATCGGGCACATAGCAGCTAAGAGAAATGCAACAAGTGGCTATGCTGCGATAGAGTTCACTCGTTCCCCGGCGGAGTTGGCGCAAAGACTTGGTGTGGTGTTTGTTGCCGTGACGCTCTCTCCTGCACGGGAGGGTTGCTCAGGGTGAAAGTAGGCTAGCCCCATCCCGACCTAGACTGGACCCACCCTCGACCTAACACGACAATTATACCCCAGACTCATTTCCGCTCGGAGCACATCACGATCTCAATAGAGCCGTAGGATGGCGCCCATGCCGTTCTTGTACAACAATGATCACGCCAATTTCCAGGACCCCTAACCTAACGCCTTAGAGGCAGTTCTCCACCAACTGGTGCTCACAGGCCATGGCACATAGGTCAAAACCGCTGTGTTCCCCAAGGTTTCCTTCTTTTTCTCACTACGCAAGGCTTTCAAGTTACGCATCCCCAGCCTCGTTGACAAACACCCTTGGCCTTTGTGCCCCGTCACTCATTACACACTTTACTTAATATTACCCGCTTCACTCGCTCAGCGGACGATCACCACTACCCCTAGCCACCCCAAACCACGTAAACAAGTTCAAGATGCGTTACTCTTACGTTGCAGCTGCCCTCGTTGGGTCTGCTGTTGCCGCGCAGCACAAGGCTCATGCTGGATTCCACATGCGCCGTGGAGCTTACGCTCCTGAGGAGGTTTGCACGGTCTACACCACCGTCTACGAAACCGCAAGTATGTGAAACCCATGTTAGAAGGAGCCGTAGAAGAAGAAGAACAGTCATGGCCAGTATCTTACAGCGACTAACATAATTTAGTGCCCTCCATGGCTCCCAACTCCACCATGCCCGCTGTGCCAACTTCCGTCCATGCGGAGACCGCCTCCACCTCCTGCACTGAGGAGGGAAAGACCTCCATGTACACTCCCGTCGTTCCGGCTCCCTCCAGCCCGGCTCCCGTAGTACCCGGATCTTCCATGCCCGGCTACCCTGCGGTTCCCGAGTCCAGCAAGCCCGCGATGCCTGAGTCTTCCAAGCCCGCGATGCCTGAGGTGCCCATGTCCTCCACACCTGCGTACCCCGCAGTTCCCGAGTCCTCCAAGCCAGCTGTTCCCGCTGTCCCGGAGTCTTCCACCACCTGCACTGAGGAGGAGGGTATGACTTCCTCCATGGAGGCCCCCAAGCCCACTGGCCCGGCTCCCGTCCCAGAGCACTCCACCCCAGCTGTCCCCGCTGTCCCGGAGACCTCCACCACCTGCACTGAGGAGGAGGGAAAGCCCACTGGCCCTGCCCCGGTCCCAGAGAACTCCAAGCCCGCTTACCCCTCTGTCCCTGAGGTCACTAAGCCCGCTGTCCCTGAGGTTCCCGAGACCACCAAGCCCGCGGTCCCTGAGGTCCCTGCTCCCTCCAAGCCGGCTTACCCCACCGTTCCTGAGGTCTCCAAGCCTGCTGTTCCTGAGGTTCCCGAGGCGTCCAAGCCTGCCTACACCCCTGAGGTCCCTGCTTCCTCCAAGGAGGCTGAGAAGCCCAAGCCCACTCCCAGCGCCACCCACGGCTCTGACAAGCCCAAGCCCACCGGCAGCTACAACAACGGTGAGCACATCAAGACCAACGGCGACAAGTGGGCCATTACCTACACTCCCTACGCCAACGACGGTAACTGCAGGACCGCCGACGAGATTGCTGCCGACATCAAGAAGATCTCTGAGCTCGGGTTCACCACCATCCGCTCATACAGCACTGACTGCGGTGTCTTCGAGCACGTTGTCCCTGAGTGCACCAAGTACGGACTCAAGGTCATCTACGGCATCTTCCTCGAGGCCGGTGGCAAGGCCGGAAAGGGTCCCTTCTCCAGCTACGCCAACGACCAGTTGAACGACATCAAGGAGAACGCCCCCAAGGACTCTGTCGCCATGGTCATTGTTGGAAACGAGTGCGTCTTCAACGGTAACTGCGAGGTCAGCGAGCTTGGTTCCTACCTCGACTACGTCCGTGATGAGCTCCGTGGCGCCGGCTTCCCCTCTGACATCGCCATCACCACCACCGAGACTGTTGGCTCGTGGGAGACGATTGGTGATGCTCTCTGCGACCACATCGACATCTTCACCGTCCAGATCCACCCCTACTTCACCCAGTCCGTCACTGCTGACATGGCTGGTGACTTCGCTGCTCAGCAACTTGAGCAAGCCGCCAAGGTCTGCCCCGAGGCCGCTGCCAAGGGCAAGTTCATCACTGAGATCGGCTGGCCCAGCGCTGGTACCTCCAACGGCAAGGCTGTCGCCGGTGTCCAGGAGCAGAAGACTGCCATGAAGAAGATTCTCGAGAGCGTCGGTCCCGAGTCCTGCGTTTTCTCCTTCGCCAACGACGGCTGGAAGGCGCCGGGTGACCTCAACGTCGAGCAGAACTTTGGCTGCGTCGACGCCCTCCTCGACGGACTTAACATCTCCATCGATGTCTCTTTGTAGAGTCCCTATGATGTAGCCCGTAGCTCTTTTGTCAATCACGTTTAGCTACGTTATGCGTTCACGTCTTGCATCTGTCTTCATTCTGACCATACTATGTTTACTGCAAGTCGCTAGCGAAGGTGGCTTGGAGGTAGTTTTTAGTGTTTAATCTATTTGCCAACAAATAGCAATATCTTGTTCAAACAAGCTTTGGTATGTGCGCAATGTTCTCAGCCGTGAAATCGCTCATGTTGTGGGCCGGTGGAGGTTGCCAATCTTCTCGGTGGGACGCAATTTAGACGTGGCATGCCAGACATGGATCCTGCGACAATGCCGGAGATCAGGCGGTGGGAATCCGACTACCGTGGTTGAACATGGAGGCGCAAGCCTGGCGAGAGGTGTTTGCGGGGTTGCTGTGCCGCATGAGCACAGACCATGCCCTGCAGGTGCAGGCACCAAGATCTCTGCATCCGAACCAGACTTCCGCGAATAGACATCTGTGTTACCAGTCGTTTCTCTCTTCCGTGAACATTCCATCAACAGGAAGTTCTTGAAGCAGTAATCGCTATCGCTGCTTGCGCTGGACAACCGAACATCGACAACGTGATCAACAATGGCAACCTCCATCCCGGGCTTCCTCAGGCTACCACTCGAAATCCGCCAGCATATATACCACTATCTTCTCGCGCAAAGTTTCCAGAGTCGAACAATCAATATGAGCGTCCGAAAGCGACACACTGGCTATAAACTGCAAGGTCTCGAAAGCATTCAAGGCCTTGTATTCGTCAGCCGCATCTTCCATGACGAGCTCCTCAACTACTGCTTCAGCCGTTTCAACTTCTTCCTCCACAACGGCTCGGAGTCCATACGCTGGGTGGCACGTGAATTCTATCGCCAAATCGGAGTCGAGAACAGGAAGCTGGTTAAATACATCACTATTCCCAGCTTCAGTATCGATCGCGTAATGATGGATCCAGACAATATGGTTGAGGTCTTCGCCGTTCACAAAGCTTTCTGCCTGGAGCTTCTGGATGAGATGCAGCGTGTCTTTGCCCTTCTGGCACGCTTCCCAACATTGGAAGAACTCGATCTGGGAATTGAAACTCTGGAAGCAACGCGGCCGACTGATCGCATGCATTACAGGATATCACCCCCGTCTACGTCGAGAGCTGATCTGAGAAGGGAGCGTGGATTGATGTACGCGACTGATATCAGGGATGCTCTGCAAAAAGCAAGATTTTTACCAACAAGAGTGACTCTCGGTATCTGGTGGACGACGATAGGTCATGATGTGACTGAACGAAGAACGGATGAGGAAGTTCGGCAAGACGAGGAAGACGTTCTGCATCAGATACGAGAAGACATTGCGCCTGTTCGAGTTGTATGTAAAGGTGTCATGTAAAGAACGAGCACACTCTGGAAGTCCATATCACAGTCTGGTCTTAGGAATTTATACACTGAAATTGAACATAAAACAGAGCCGCAGCGTTGAACACCAGGGGTCCGTTTCTTCTACTTCTGGTATTCCTCGCATGAGAACTCGATTCTATACGAAAGCTCAAGAAACTAAGACTGAATACCTAGCTATCCCCAAACTCTATTATCAGCGCATGTGAACGAGCCTTCGACAGGAACGAGAGGATCATGGTACGCAGCTACAAGCTGCTCAATTGAAGCCCACAGACCGACACCGTTCGCGAACAAAGTCAAGGCGATGATCGTCCAGTTCAGACTGGCCAAACACGTCTTCTTCCAATCGCAGAACTGAATGCCCCAGTTGAGATACAGCCACATAACTCCGGAAATCCCAAAGGTAAACCAAGAGACAAATAGCGCGGCGGACACAGAAAGGATCGAATGGAAGAGTGGTATCGCGTTTGCGAGAAAGAATACAAGAGTCCAGAAGGTGGCGCCAATACCGAGCCACATTACCCAGGTCTGCTTGGTGTTTTGGCTGTACTCGCGCTCTCTGTCCATCAAGCGTAGCCACTCGATGAACATGTATTTGATCGATGTATGGCCAAACACCAGCGATGTTCCAAGTAGCGTAGGTAGGAGAAGACCATACGCGATCTTAGCTATCATCATAGGTGCTGCGCCGAGCGCTGGACTGGTTGTGTATTCTCCAGCCAACGCATAAACGACTGTTCCAACGATCGTGTACATGGGAATTGCGAAGCCCTGCAGAATGAACACCGAAGGCATGAAGTCTTTTGACGGCTCTTGCATCTCTGCCATCACTGTAACGAATGCCTGGTTGCCGGCATACGCGAAAGCGATGTTGAGAACGGAGGTAAAACCTTGCGCGAAGGTAGGATGACCAACTAGCACGATCTCTTTTTCCCATCCTGGTGGCGCACCATTAGGTCCAGCGATACCAAGTGCAACCATGACGATGATAGTAAGGATCGAGATAGTGCAAGGAACTGCCAAGTTTCAGCATTTCATCTGACAATACGAAAACTAGACTCACTGCCAAAGTCTGCCAAGAACTTCATGCGCCTGGGCATACACAGAACGCAAGAAACGATAGTAGGAACCAGAATGAACAGGATGGTGCACATGGCATGCTCCGAGATGCTGTTAAGCGCGATGCTCATTGTGATGACGGCAGATGAGCAAGCAAAGAGCTGGTTGAGCACGAAGCCAATGCCGACGATAGTAGATAGAGGGGTACCGCCGATAATTCTGAAACAGTCGACGCAACTCAAGACCGAAGGATATCTCCTGAAGAACTGGAGTAGAACGTATGCTGTATACATGACCGTGATGCCTACCAGAACTCGTGTTAGCAAATAGCTTATAGTGTCCGTTCTTCTAGTTTCCAACTTACCTAGCCCGATAACGCAGATAATTCCTGGGATCAACCCGAGAGTTTGCAATGCTGCAGGCAGGCCCAATATGCCTATGCCTACCTGATTCGTGATGTAGATCAGCGACGCCTGCCATTTGTTGAGCTTCCTGTCTGGACTAGCCTGTCCTGCAACATCGAGGATGTTACTCCGTTCATCCTCGTTGCTGCTCTCGCCGGCCTTCTCGCTATCGTGCGGTGGTAAAGTGGCAGCCTCAGGTACTCCAACATGTGCCATGTCATAACTGTCATTCTGATCGCGGTGTCCGTTTTCGATCGTCTCGCACTGGTCTCGCACATTTGACCCTAATATTGACATGTTGCCTCGCTTTTCGGAGGACGGGTTGACAGATGGAATGAAAGAAGCGGAGAGAAGGCTGGTGGGCGATGAAGCAAACCATGGTGGTTACAGTATCACGGCAAGTGTCGTTCATGAGCATGTCCCGACGCAGGGCAGATACGGAACCAGAAACGCACTGCATTTAACGAGAGAAATTAGTCTGTTGTTACGGACGTTACCCCAAAGTCCGGTGTTGTATCTGCCAGGTGCGCCAGATTGTCGATCGACAGCGGACATAAACTTATAACATGTCTCTGTATATGATGCCTTTAAATGAGAAAGGCTGATCATTAAAAGTCACTGAAAGATCCTCTAGTCTCTTGTGAGGCTGATGCTGATGTAATAATATTGATGGGTGGTACCTAGGTATGGCCTAGGGGTCGGTTCGGGCTATCTCGCAGGGTTCGGTGACGTCACGCCAGTCGCGGAATGGGGAAGCCGACGCAACACCATCGATTCAGTGCTTCTTCTTTCAATCTCAACAGTAGTACACATTTGCATCTATCTATTCATAATTATATCAAGGTTTCAGTCGCCTTGCTTTTCGCGTTGAGATCGTCAGACATTCGCACACCTGGGCAGCCTCCGTGTCAACCTGCAGCCAAAGGCTCGCCTTCCCTCTCTGTCATACACACTTATGGTTGTCGCATGGGTCAGGGAGACCATAGCTGTAGGTATTCCTCTTTATACCCAGTGATTAGGCTGTTCAATCGGGCTGACAGCGTCAAATTGAGTTACAGGCTCTGAAGGTACGATGGAGATTGGCTGATGTTCCACAGCCTCATTACCAGAGCTGTCGGATATGCGCGCGACCTCCTCAGCGCCGGTCGTCTTTTCTGATATCGAAGGTGTGGTATCACTGATGTAAGCAGTCGACATTTTCGCCCCGTGCGCCAGACATGGACGGCCAGTTTGGTTGTCGCGAAGTGACCACGCCATGCCTCCGGTAACAGTATGCTGAACTCCAACAAGAACCAGCGGCAGTCCATCCTTATCGTTCTCTTGGTACAGCTCCTTGTCAGACTTGACGATGCGGTTCTCGGAGTTCCTCTCGAAGAGAGCAGCCGCTAATCCGGGAACACCAAGCCGCGTCCTGACTTGATGAACGTCCTGATCTGCTGCCATCCAAGCCATGACGGCGAGGCCAATTTCAAGAGCGGCGAAGGACAGATTTGCCAAAACCAGCAGCCAGACAGCTGCGACAGGCGCTCTAGTCATAATCTTCCTGGCTCTTGTCTGCACTAGAATACTGTCTGCCGGCACCGTATGCACGCGTAAAGGAAGGGCGAAGATGGTGCTCATCCCGAGTTCTAAGTCTGAGATAACCTGTCCCAAGGATACTGGAGGATTGACTTGCCGAAAAACGCCGTATTTTAATTCCGCTAGGCTTGCCGTGCTGTCGACAGAGGGAAGGATTGAGATACCCGCCACAGTAGAGTTACTCTCATGTGCCTCCAACCTTTTGATTTTACCACCAGTAGCACTATATGTGACATCGTAGACTGGAAAGACCTGTTAGGTGAAGAACAACGACAGTGTAGCATTCCTCGGTAGTGGGTACTCACCTGTTGTGTTACATGCAACAACCATTGTGTAACTCGGATACGTGGGATCCAACGGCCAGGCCTTGCCAATCATGTCTCTTGGTAAGAAGTCCGAATTGACGTTCAAACTCAGACCAACGGATGCGGTCCATCTCCACGTGGTTGGGAACATCTGAGCACTCTCTTGTTTTGTTACGTTTGGTATAATGGATCTGGTCTGGCCTTTAGGGGTAAACTGCAACCCTTCTGACATACCAAATGTCCCGCTTTCGCTTAAGAAGTGCTTGTGGAAATCAAAAAACATGTATGAGAATGCGTTGCCTATGTAGCTCCCTGAGAAATCGATCGGCGAGCCGCGAGCGATGGTGCAGTTGAAGGGCACTATCGACTTTCCAAGGTCAGTAGTTAGGTTTGAGTTCACCTGGATATCGCAGGCGGTAGCAGGTATAGGCGCACACTGGGACGAAATGGCGTACGATGTCGCCTGCCAGTCTGTTTCGGACGGCGATATTGTTGGACCAACAACCGCGTATTGGCTTCCAGTCTCCTCAGTAAAGTTCATGATGCCTGCCCCGTAGCCTTCGTCTATCATTGCGATGAAATCGGTGTTGTTTGTAAGTTCCATCCTGTCCTCGGCGTATTTGAGTGTGGTCATACTGCAACCCCAGAAGTTTCGGTTCTGCATGGTACCGACGGTTTCGCTATCATCAAGGCACCATGGATCAATGCTCCTGCTGTACTGATGCTGAGCAGGATCTTGAGGGAAAACCTGAACTAACTCTATTGCTTCGGTTGCTATGTGGAGATAGCCGTCTGCCGCATGCACAAGAACACTGGGAAGCTTAGTACAGAGTTGAGTCTAATGATGCACATACGTACCTCGCGAGCACAGCTAGACATAGAACGAATATTGATGCTCGTAGTACCGTTGGTTTCGTAGCTCGCCCGGATAATTCGCTTTTTGTGCCGCGCCGGAAGGACCACCGTCGCCATGGCCGGGATAGTTCCCACAGAGACAGGTAATCCGCATTCAGAAGTCGGACTACAAGGCTAGTCTCATAAGATGTAGGAAGACATCTGCTCTGGTCCTGAGACACGGAAGCTTCCGTAAGTCGGCGCGCGGCACAATAGGCGTAAGTCGACATAAGGGCGCTCACGAGAGCGAAGCTAACGGTAGATGACCAAGAAGATACGAAGACGAGGCGAGTAGCCGGAAAGTCGACGTAGTAGTGAGACGCCTTGGTGACATTGATCAGCGGAGACTGTGGGCATATCTCGCGCTATAGGGACAGTCTAGATCACTTGCTAGATTGTGAAAGACTAGCACAAGGATCATGACAGTGAACGTAATCATCGGAACGACAACGATGGACGAAGCCAAGAGAATGTGTTTCGTATAGGGTTGTAAAGTGAATGAAGGCATGTTGGTGAGGGTAACTGTTCAGGCAAGATGACTTCGAGTGGGTTTGGTCTCTCCAAAGAATAAGAGAGTTCTACTGATTTTATGTAGCGAAAGACATAGAGTAATGTATCTTGAGAAGAGTTCTGTATCGCTTTACTGGGAAAGGAATAAGCCCAGGTGTGATACGCTTCGACTTCGCCTTGCCAAGGATGACTTGATCGACATCTGGGCACAATTCATGTGAGGCCATGTAAGGTGTTTGACCAATGGAGCGCGAGACCGTTAAGGAATTCAGGTTGGACGTCGTGCAAATGTTAGCACGCGGGGGCTGCGCGCTTCGTTATCGAGCAACAAGCTGGGCCTCGGGGACGTGCGAGTGGCGCAGCCCATTTTCCATGTAGGTACATTTTAGCCATATTGAGGCTGCCCCGGGAATCTTCTTTCTGGCACGTTGGCCAATACACTGTTAGCTTCAAAACGGAGGAGACGAAGGCGGTATCCAGTAGGAATCTTTGAAGTTGTTGAGGCGCAAATTAGAACTGGGCTATGCCTTCAAGGCCCCCCACAACTCTGCGATGCTGTGGAACGAGAGTATCGCGTCTGGGACATGATATGTTGAAAGGTCTGGCTATGAGTTAGAACGCACATCCAGGGGTTTTCGGGGCCGCTTCTTCCAGAGCAATATCGCGACAGTCAGCACTAGGGTTGGGGGTCGAGATCGAACGGCAAGCCCAATGGCCGCCCTTAACAGGTTGCAGCAGTATGCCGTGGCATGCACACGATGCTTTTTGACCAGAAAATAGAGATATCTGAGTGCGTATTTATAACTTTACCTCTTGGCAGCTACAACTTGTTAAGGTTAGATCGGACTGTCTTCCTGAGTCTGGTGACGTCATGCCCGTTGCAGCTGCGGAATTGGGAAGCCGTCGCAACATTATCAATCTCGTGCACTTTCCTTTCGTTTTCAACGGCAGTAGACACCTAACCTCATGATTCTGATCGTGTGACAGCCAAGGTGTGACTTTCTCACGACTGAATCCGAGCGTCACGACATGCGTTCAGGAGAAGAGACATCGGGCCCAGTGTCAAGAAGCAAGATGTATAGAGTGCGCCTTTGACTCAGACTACGATCTGGTCCTTTGGGCTGGTCATTGAGAGGTGTCAAGAAGCCTACACGAGCAGAACCGACTTTTCGCATTGATCGTATCGAGACAGTCGTCGTACCGGAAATACCTCCAAATGATTGGACTTTCGTGCCAGACTTGTACCACTCGTAATGTAGACGACGAAAGCCACGAATACACCGCCCTCCAATCGACGCAACCGCTATCCAAGTACCAAAACCCGGGACAGCGCACTAACCCCAAGGTAAGCTCAACTATAACGGAGGCGTTAGCAATCTCCTTTACGCTCAAACAACAGTCGCCAGGTTTCCATACCATCATTGCGGTGGCGTACCTTCACGGCCTAGGCATTGCAGGTACACCGGCAAGTCTCCCAGCCCAACCAACACCCTCCGCGATCTTGATACCAACCGACCGAACGAGGGCAGCATCGCCTACCCCCTGCAGCATTCAAGCAGCGATTCAGACAGTCCCTTCCCCAGTTGCGCTCACAGCCTCCGCCCTCCCAGCTGATGCGTCGGCCAGGACAAGCTTGAGCAGTGGTAGCATCAGAGGGAGTTTCGGCGGGTATCGCGATAGTCGCGGCGGAAACCGTGAGAAAGGTAGTGAGGAACGGGAGGATATGCATCTTCGGGAAGTGTTCAAGTTGATGTTGGGAGGAACAGTAATAAAGATCTGAAGCACGCAGATGCTGCATTGGGGATTTATATAGACGTCTCATCTCGGCAACATACGACTATACTAAGGCGTCCATCTGATCATGAGATAGATGCCAAGCTGTGTGTTACTCTCATGGTGGTATCTCACTTCGTAAATGTTACGGTGTGGGAACACAGGATGTCACTCTCTAGACAGATCAGTGGCTCTGAAAGGCGGGGTTGGAAGCCATACATGGTCTTCTGCAACGATTGTTACCCGTCGAGAGGCTAGGGGCGTTGCAGACGTACTTTAGTTGCTAGACATGACCAACAGGCTATATGTATGCCCTCTCAGGCTTGCCGTTTCTGCAACCCAATTTATGGAATCTGTGTACTCGCATTTCCCGTCGATGTGGTCGTCACAATAGATCATAAGCTAGACGACTGAGCCGTGAACATTAGCTGAGAATCTCCTGGCGCAGGTCAGGTAATATCCATAAGACAGGATCACATAAACGTATCCTGCAATGCATACCGATCGATCCACTCTGTATCATCTTACTCCCTTCTCAATACCTCCGTATAAAGCCCTACACACATGCCATCCCACCCATCTACCTCCTTCCAAACTTCTTCTTCCCAACAACCGGTCTCTTAACCACGCCCTCCCCACCCCCCTCCTTCTTCTTCACCACCCCCACCTTCTTAACCACAGGCCCATTCTCCTCCTCCGCAATCCTCCTATCCTCATTCGCCTTGTCCACCGCCATCTGCGCCTCCAGCTCAGCTTTCCTGTTGAACTCCGTTTCCATGATACGCTTGTCCCTCGCGGAATACCCTTTCTCTTTGATGCTGTAGAAGACCGCGCCCATGTCTGCGAGCCAGTGTGGATCCACAGATGTGACACACGACATGTACTCTTTACTTGTGAGGATGAGTTCGTGGTATACGACGTAGTCGGGTAGGTAGCCCAAGCCGTAAAGAGCAGATGTGGGATGGAGTTGGATGGTGACGCTAGTGCGCAGGTTGATGTACTCGCCTATACCTTTCACTTTGGCGGCTTGGTGGTAGTAGCCCGAGCAGATGCACTTGCGTATTACGTCCCAATCGGTACCACAGGAGACGAGCTTCATCTTCTGCTTGGACATGATGTCGTAGATCTGGTCGCGGATTTCTTTTGCGCGGCGCAGCGCTTTCGGGTGCAGGAAGTGGCGGATGCACCAGCCGTCGGAGTAGCCGTTGACTTTCCACTGCGTGTAGACGTGTAGGAGGGTGAGGTGGTCAGACTCCGGGACGAAGAACTTCTCGCGCGCGGCGTCGGATTCTTCTTGACGTTCTTTGGGGCGGTAGAAGACTGAGGGGACGGAGAGCATGGCGACGATTGTGAGCATTTCTTCGCTGCACTCCATTTCTGTGGCTGTGATGATGAGCTTAGCGAGGGAGGGGTCCATGGGGAAGGCAGTCATGGTGCGGCCGAGTTCGGTGAGGTTACCGATGTTGTCGAGGGCGCCGAGGGCCCAGAGGTCGAAGAGAGAGGTTGTTATTGTGTCTTGGGGTGGCGGGTCCATGAAGTCGAAGTCTAGCAAGTCTCGTACGCCGAGAGACTTGAGAAGAAGAACCGTGTTGGCGAGGTTTGTTCGTTGAATCTCTGGGATAGTCTGGATGTAGAATTCATCCCTAAAAGCTCTCTCAGTGTACAGATGGAAACACTTTCCAGGTCCAGTACGTCCAGCGCGACCAGCACGTTGAGAGGCATTGGCCTGTGAGATGGGTGTGATCTGGAGCGTGTCCATGCCCATCTTCGGGTTGTAAACCTTGAGCTTAGAAAATCCAGCATCCACCACATACATGATGCCGTCCACTGTCAAACTCGTTTCTGCGATGTTGGTGGCCACGATGACCTTGCGTACGCCAGGGGCTGCTCTGTCGAAGATCTTTGCTTGCAGATCAGCAGGCATCTGACTGTAGATTGGAAGAATGCTGAGTTTTGGCGGGTCGTTGAGAAGTTTCAGTCTTTCGGCGACCAGTTCGCATGTGATTTCAATGTCTTCTTGACCCGTCATGAAGACCAGAATATCGCCAGGCCCCTGGGAGACATGTATGGCGAGCACCTGCTTGACTGCGCTGTCGACATAGTCCTCGCATGGGGACCGCGAGTATTGGATGTCAACGGGAAATGTTCGCCCTGGAATTATGAACTCGGGAGCTCCTCCGTAGAAACGCGAGAATCGTTCCGAGTTCATGGTAGCTGATGTGACGATTAACTTGAGGTCTCTTCTACGTGCCAGCACTTTCTTGAGAAGTCCCATTAGTACGTCGGTGTTCAAAGCTCTCTCGTGGGCCTCGTCCATGATGATGCAGGAGTATTTGTCGAGGTCCGGTTCCACCAATGACTCTCGGAGTAGCACACCATCTGTCATGTACTTAATCTTGGTCTCCTTGCTGGTGCAGTCTTCGAAACGAATGGCATATCCGACCTGTCCACCAAGTTTCACCTCCATCTCTTCACTCACACGTTTCG